TTTCCCTCTTTCTTGGGAGCTCCACTCTGCAGCCCTCCCAAATCAGGGCATTTCCCAGGGTTTCATCCCAAATAGAGGAGCACTCTGTGGCCTCTGATCTCCAACTGGAAGGGAGGCTTTAAGCAAGAGTGGCAGCCCCAGCCTGGGTCATGCTGTGGAGGCCACAGGGAACCCTAGCGCGGTGTGTAGGTAGGGTTGTTTACTTTTGTGTAGATCAGCGATTTTCTGATACTTCAAAATAAAACACAAGATGACTCCCCTGGATGTGTGTTTTGCAATACAATTATGGTAATGTCCTGGAAACATGAAAACAAACAAGTACTTCAGGCAGGAAATTGCATTAGCCGGGGCAAGCAGAAACTGGCAAAGCATTTCCCGGGCCAAGAGCAGACGCCACTGCGCTGCATTTCCACACAGACAGCAGTCCAGATAAAAATGTCACCTAGCAAAGAGCGGAACTACTGACAAAGGGCTGTGGTGCCCAAAGCTGTCTTGCTGCTGTGTAGCTCTGCAGAGCCCGTGGCTGCCAGGGCCTGGGCAGCCAGTGTGACAAAACTGGCTTGGAGCATGTGCGTCTTGGAGAAGCTGCACCCTTTTTTTGGTAAGTATTTCTCAGAGTCATATAATTAATCTGTAACTTCTGATACTTTTTTCTTTCCTCTCACAAATCAAAACACAGCTTTATGGTAAGTGCTTTTGTCTGGGAATCTGAGCAGGTGGTTTTAGCAAAGGCCAGAGTCCACAGTTAACACTCAAGTTTTACCAAGTAAATTAAATCTTTCACAACGTGGCCACTGATGCTGAGCAACTCTCCTAGTTTTTGGAAAGTTCTGACCTCAATTTTCTTCCCTGAGGAAAACGGCAGCAGCATAATACAAATTCTTTCCACCTCTTTTCTATATCTCGGTGTTTTTAAAAATTCCAGAGTCCCTAACAACAATAAAAGTGTAATAACTGATTTGAGAGCCCTGGTGGTACCTTGCTCCAACAGCATTAATGATAAGCAGAGTGCCATGTTACTGGGTGTCTTGAGTTAAATTCATTACAACTCTGTGGAAACAGCAGCTCAGACCATGAGAAGAACAAGGACGGTGGGTAGGTGTGTAGGCACACATGTGTGGGCTGGATCCCGTGTGGGCTGGATCACATGTGGGCAGAAGTCTTTGGGCAGCAGCACATCTTCACCCTCAATGTTTAAAGAGTGTGTGGTTCTTTTTCGAAGCCACCCTCTGTGGGGCTTATGGCTGTCTCTTTGTGTTAGGAATTTTTTGCACTGTTCAGTATCTTGTAAGTATTGCAGCTGGTGCTTTTTGTACCATCAAAGGCATGGAGCCCCCTCCTCTGGAAAACTCTTCTTCTGGCTCAGTTAGTGCCTTGGGTTGTGGGAGTGTGAATGCTGCCACGCAGGGAGGAGGGTGTCAGAGGAGGAAATGTTTTGCATCCATCAGCTCCTGGTACTGCTATACCAAAAGCAAGAAGCTGCTGTATGCAATGAGGTGCTACACTACGGGGTTTTGTGGGGCACTAAGATGGAGGAATGAACAGAGGAAAGTAACTGCATGTGCTTTTATATGCTTGTTGGTATATAGGCAGTCTAAAAGCTTATAGATGTTTACTTCTAATATTTGCTGCCATTAGTGCAGGAATGACAAAACTAAACACAACATACATTTACATACATGGGTTTCAGTCGTGCCAAGTATCTACCAACAGCCTGGAAGACTTTTTTTTCTATCATCTGTGGCTGAACTTATCTGTAGGAAAGCAATACTGCTGCCTTTGTCTTTAAAAAGTGCACTGATAGTTTTGAGTTACTCAGCAAATGTACGGTTTTAATAAAATGCCTTGTCTTCCTGGTAGCTATAGATAAGATTGTCACCTCTTCAGAAGATACAGGATATGAAAACACAGCAAGGTTGTTACCTACTTTTTTTTCTCCAAAAAGAGTTGTTTGAGACAAAGGTTTTTGAAAGGACTGCATTTTCCTCTTCTCAGCTTTGTTATTTCTCATTCTAAAAAATAAGCAAGCTGAAAAAGTTTCTAAGATACATACTGCCTGACCTCTCATTCACTGTGAAGCTATCTCACAGGGCCCTAGTTATCTGCCAGTACTTTAGAATGTGAGTAATTAATTACCTAAAAACTAAGGCAGCAGACTTAAAAACCTGCAAAGCCTGTATTTAGAATGAAGGTGATTTTATTAGCTGGATGTGAAATCACGAAAGAACAGAATTTCTTGATTTAGTCCTTTCTATTGGAAACAATAAATTTCTGTCTCCCTCTCTTGTCGCTTAGATCTTGTTCCCCCTTTTTTTTTTCCTGCTATCTTTGGGGTGTATTAGATCTGTAAGTAGATATCCAACACAACATACTTGATTTCAAACTAATTTTTTCAGTTAGTGTTTTAAGGCTGGCAAGACTTCCTACCTCTTTTCTACTCGTTTTGTCTTAGGCTGGCATTTGTCCTCAATAAATGAACTGTTCAAAGCACGATGTAATCTCTAGAGGGAAAAGAAGAAAATAAATTCACAGAATCACAGAATCACAGAATCTCAGGAGTTGGAAGGGACCTCAAAAGATCATCCAGTCCAACCCCCCTGCCAGAGCAGGATCACCTAAACTAGGTCACACAGGAACGCGTCCAGGTTGGCCTTGAATGTCTCCAGAGAAGGAGACTCCACAACCTCTCTGGGCAGCCTGTTCAGTGCTCCATAACCCTCACAGTAAAAAAGTTTTTCCTCATGTTCGCATGGAACCTCCTATGGTCCAGCTTGCACCCATTGCCCCTTGTCCTGTCATTGGACATCACTGAGAAGAGCCTGGCTCCTTCCTCCTGACACTCGCCCTTTACAAATTTATAAACATGAATGAGGTCACCCCTCAGTCTCCTCTTCTCCAAGCTAAAGAGACCCAGCTCCCTCAGCCGCTCCTCATGAGGGGAGATGCTCCACTCCCTCAATCATCTTTGTGGCTCTGCACCGGACTCTTTCAAGTAACTCCCTGTCCTTCTTGAACTGAGGGGTTCAATTAGTAAAAGAAAGATTAAGACTAGTTCCATAAATAGGTAAACAATTTGGGCTTTGTGTGAAGGACTTGAGCATAAATTATTTTTCACATTCAAGGATACAAGTAATGTCTGTGCTTTGTCATTACAGCAGATTTATTTTCCTGCAGTTTCCCAAGGAAGGGCAATCTGAAAGGTTGATAAATAGTTTGCAAACAATCCTTGGTATTAGAATCCCTCAGAAAAAAAGTCTTTCTTGGCAAACTTTATTATTTTCTAAAAAATCTCTTTCACTGTGCTGCTTTAGAGCAATAGAAGCTCTTTATTTTTGTGCCTTTTGCTGCAAAGTAACCTCTTCCTTTACAACAAACACCTTTCTGTCTTTAAAACACAATTATATGAGATAATAACACTTTGTTACTGGTGTCCAAAAGAGTTGTAAGGTTACAAGTGCAAATGGGAAGGTCCCTTCTGTAGGCTTTGCAACTGTGAATATTTGAACTGTCTCTGTGCTTCTCATTCTATCATTAAGTAAATCTCTTTAAATTCCAGAAGGTGCTGTCACACTTCAACTGCCAATCAGCAGTGCTCTTACAACCTTTTGTACCTTGTTCTTGTCCTGGCTTTTTTAATCAGCCACATGACTTTCACAGGGTTACTTCTGAATACGTACCTGGCTTGTATGGAGCCAGTACTTCATCTTGGATTTCTTCTTGATTCGTGGTAGGAGCAGTCTGTACAGAATGTGTTCCCCAATGGTAGTGATAATGGACAAGCCAAACCCGATGCACAACATCACAAACAGCCCAGAAAAGTGCTTGATCCCCATTTGCAGCGTCTGTGAATAAAATCAAAAGGGGAAGTTAACGAAGTAGGCTGTTCATGTATTTTAACAGATGCTTCTGTTTTCTCATTTGGAAATGTGGTCTGACTGAATACAGAGTGGTGAAACAGTCTGGACACTGCTTACAGCAAAGCCTTTCTGTGCTGCAGAAAGCTCAGTATTTAGTGAGAGCAAAGGACCTGTCATGGGAATGAGAATCAGCAAAAGATCGGGGATTTATTTCCTCAGGCTGTTTCCCTAATGAGATGAAGTGTTGAACACGTATGAGAATCCAGTACTGGTGGTGTCTTTGCATTTGCAAAAGCAAATATGCTTGACAGAATACAGTCAAAGAACTGTAGAGCAAGTCCTTCATCAGCAGAGAGCTAAGACCGACTGTTCGTATTTTCTGGGAATTGATTACTAACTTCCACTTTTTGTGCTTTACCCTTGATGGGTCATGGAGAAAATGTTTAGAAGTAGCAGCACAAACATGGCACCTCTTCACACATTAACGGGACTGAAATTGTGTTTGTTATGAACCCTGTCTGCAATTATGGAAAACAGGAACACTCCTACCTTGTTCTTCCAACCTACTCTTTTCATGTAGGGTAGGAAGCCTTCAATTAACTTGCATCTCTCATTGGCATTAATCACGTTTGAAGACCAAGAAACCACATACAGCAGCAATCTGAACCACAAACACCTGCACTCCAATGGGTGGGTCAGGTCTGCATTTTATATATAAACTTAGTACCTTTATTTTCATGCCTCCATAACTCAGTTACGAGTTATCAAGAACTTAAATCTCTTGCTAATAATTACTGCCCACAGATTACTTTGGAAATATTTCTAAGAATACAAATTCTACTTGTGCTTTTCTATTAAAGAATGTTATTCCCTATGTCACAAAAAAAGGAGCACAAAATTGCTTGGGTGTCAGGAGATACCTGGGGTGCTATCATCCTGAACCTATCACACATTTACTTGTGTGTTCCTTCAGTCTGCTGTTAGTTTGGTGGGTGGGCGGTGGTGGGGATTGTGCTTTGTTATGACTATAGCTGTGTAATCCAGAAAAGAAACTGGATTTAGTCAAAAAAGAAATGTTTGAAAAATTTTGTGATGAGGTCATTTTAAGCCAAAGAGTTGATCAGTGATGAGTCCATTGGACTCAGTTGAAGTTGAAGCCTTGGAAGTCCCTTTTTGTGCTTTTGTTGAGTGATTGTGAGCAGCATTTCTCTCCTCTGGTTTTCATGTTTGATTTCTGTTCTTTAAAACACAATGATATGTGACAGCATATCACAGATTTTTAACAAGAACAGAGCTTCAGCAAACTAGCAGAGTGAGAACTTTTGCAATGCAGCATTGGCAATGAACTCTTATCTTAGGGCTTCTCTGCCAAAAATCAACCTGCTTGCCCCAAAGCACACTGAGTAGAATTTTTGGGAAGATAATTTTTGTACCAGTGAACGAACATTTCAAGGCTGTTGAAGGGCATAATGGGGTTGTAAAAGCAACTTCTAAAGAAACTTACTGCAGCCTGGAAATAAAAGTGGAAAACCACAATAGAGTGATTCTGGGGTAGAAGGGTGTCACAGTCTTGGCATGAGGGTTTTCTGATACTGAGAGTGCAGCAGTTCAACCTCAAAGCAAAATTTCCCTCTCAGCATTGGAATTTCTTGTTGGCAAGAACCTGTTGTCCTGTACTTTGTCCTTTCAGTTAGGGGAACAGGAGAATGACACACAGGTGGAAACCCTTCAAACCACTGAAAACCCAAAGTGTTTGACTGGAGGTCTGTGTTACCTGGCCTGTTTCTTTTAATTAGCAGTCAAGCCTGACTTTTCCCAGGTAGCTTAAAAGCAGAATGATGCCCCATACTTGACTTTTTCCGTAGAGGTCTTCAGAGCCAAGACCTCAGTATGGTCTGAGATCCTGAATTTAGCACATATAAATATCTGTAAGAAGAAAAAAGACTGCTATCTATACCAGCTGGACATACTAGTTAAATGTGCTTTTGTTAATTCTCCAAGAAGCATTAATGCAAATGCTTATGTGCTTACCAAAAAGGATAGTCAAGGGCACATATGAAACAGCTTCCTTAGAGATGTAGAGTTAACAGCAGATATAAGAATGAACTGAATGAGAAACAGAATAAAAACTAAAAAAGAATAGATTCACTAATTCATCTGAGGAACACACCTATACGTATGTATGTGCTTCCAGGCTACTGCCATTTATTGTCACACAGAACAACAGTCTACAAGTGGGCATTGCCATAAGCTCGGTTGGCGGCGGGAAGCAGTGAATCAGCAGAGCCAAGGTCCTTTTGTTTAGCTACTTCAGAAGTAATGCAGAAGTCCCTGAAGGTAAGTGAGATCAGTAAGGAGGCCTGACCTGCTAGATTGCTGTATGGTAGGGAGCGTTTATATTGCTCTGAGAATAGGAACTTGGTTTAACAGCATATGGTAAAACTCCAGCTATTCAAAATAATAATAAAAAAGAGACACAGTGGCAAATACAGGTGGGATTCCTGCCTGCATGAGATGTCTCCTCCAGCCTGAGGTCGGTGTTTGATGCCACTCCAGTATTGCTGCAGAGAGAACACTTGGCCAGCTCCTCACATGAAAAATAACTCCCTTGTCTTCAATAAAGCTGCTCTGATTTATGCTGATGAGCATCTGGCTCAGTGTCCTGACAGCTCTGCAGAACAGTTTTCTACCTTCCCTGGAAAGAGGTGAAAGAAATTCCAGCACTGGCATCTCAGATGCAATTTTCACTTGTAATGGATAGCTTTTGAAATTGTCCCAAACAAGACTTCTTTTCCTGAGAAAGGAAATGCCAAAACAAAGCATCAATAATATTTCATCTAGCAATACAGAAGATAATGCATTGAAAGAGCTGCCTCATAAAGGCTGTGCAGTAGAGAGAAATTTTTGAGACTAAATTAAGTGGGGAAACGAGGTAGGGAAGAAGCAATTAGCACAGTGTGTCTTACAGCATATGGAGTGATTATTTATAGCAATATCAGCACATTTACATACCATTCTAAAAAGGCAATTTATCAGCTGTTCATAATTACTGTAGACACACACATATTAAATAATAAAGGAAACCATCTAATAGAGGCACTTCTCATTTTCATAGTTTCATGCTGATCAGTATGAGAGCAGCAAGCTCTACTACTTATTTTGTAGTTTGTGTATGTATTTAGAGGTGCATATACAGAATATACTTGGAAAGTGCAGCAATAAACTGGATTCTCTGTATCACTGTTTTCTGCTGAAGGGGTAGTGTGTTAGGTCTTTGCTGGCAACAGAAAACCAAATTATGACTTCCTCTACTGCAGTATTTTTTTTTCCTTATGGAATAAAAGCCTGTAATGTGGTGTATTGTCTGTTAACCCAGGATAAAAATGCAGCCCTTGCTCCAACTTTGTAATCATAAACTCAGGAGGTAGTTCCCTGCATTTTAGAAGAAGAAAATGAATTATGCCCATGTGGTCATTCCGAGGCAATAAGCAACCACAGTCAATCCTGTGATGATTACAGCTAATGGGTGTTAAGCACTACACTGGCAACAGCCTCTAAGTTATTTGCCACTTGCAAATTGGGAAATCGGCAGTTTCTGAAAACCAACAAATGCATGAATAGAAGTAGAGGTATCTGCTCTTTTAATATACCCTTGGAGGGACTTCTCTGATTTATCAACCCATATCTACCATGGCTACCTAGGCACTTCCTGCTGTGTCCTCTGTAGTTATGCGCTTTTTCTTTGGGCCCCGAAGAGAAGGAAGGGGATGGAGAGAAGTGAGTTTGGTATTTGCATTCTCTTTGAAAGGGGGAGCAGAAACACAAACCAGCACTCACTGATTACATTACTGGATTTCACGGGAAAAACTCCAGCTTTACTCCCTGCTACAAGAGACTATAAATGCTTTACTCTCCCTGGTTGCGCTGAGAGCAGTGAATAAGCCATCAAACACGCCTGTGGTCCAGCTTTGACAAATTAGAAGCCTCTATAAAGGTTTCTGTGGATACTTTGCAGGCTGGCAGCACAGTACAGGTACTGGTGCTACACACTGCAGAACCCAAACGCTACATAGTGATATCATGTGTCCATTAGCTATAATAATATGCTATCCTTTTCGATAGCATTTTCCCTCCAAGGATTTTAAAAAGTTTTGCTGAGATCATGAAGCTGTATTCTGCTGCACCTCTGTGAAGAAGGAATTATTTGCAGCTTTACTAAGGATAAATGGATATGAAGGCCGGATTTCTAAACTTAATTGGGCATCTCAGTAGGTTTACAAAATCCTACTGATGCTTATGCTTGTATTTAGGTAACTAAACCATATTAAAACCTGTCCCTCTCTCCATATTGTGGCTTTTCTTGTAGCTGCAGAGAGACTGTTATTTATTTATTTATTACTCATTCTTATGGCTTTCTGTGCTTTCAAAGAAGTGGCAGCATTGAAGTAATATATATTTAATCTCTTTAGGGAGATCATGCTTAGCAAAGACTGGTGACTGTGGCTGTAAGGTTTCAAGTGCCAAATTTTAAGATACTGTAAATCATTGTCTCACATTAGCAAGACAAGTTCCTTTCCCCTCTTCTTCTGAGGAGTTTTGCACAGATCTGGAAAATTACTCCCTGTTGTAATAAATCTTTTTCCCTCAACTCATACATTTTCCGAGCCCCATCTGTAAAGGGAAGAAAAACAATACACATAACATCCGAATCAGGTACTGAGATGTTTGCTTCTGTGGTATTCTCAGGCAGATGAGCTGGGAATAACAGCTCTGCCTCCTCAGATAGTAAATTTCTTTTGTTTTCAGTTTTGACAGGTGAATCTACATCTCTTACTCATTTCCAGGAGACTCAACATGTGCTTCT